CCCCAAAACCCCAAAACCCCAAAACCCCAAAACCCCGGGACAGTTGTAATATTGAGACTAAATATCTTCAGAGATATGGAGATTAGGATCCAGAGATGCCTTACTGTTCTTTATACATTTGCTTAACTTGCTCAACTATAAATTAGTGATGAGAATATTACCGTTAGAACTTTGTCTGATTCCTTTGTCATCTCTTTGTCTTACAAATCTTGGAAATCTAAGACTAGCATAGATTCCTTCTCCCAAGGTATAATTCTTAGAATTAGAGAAGCTATCAGCGGATATCTCCCAGACCTGGCTCGGGTTGACCCACACATCTGGCTAAATCATCAGAACTATCTCTCACCTCCATTGTCTTGCTTGCTGAGTCAAAGACTACATTTGGCAACTTCTGAGGTACAACTTCCTTCTCAAATTTGGTTGTGAAGTCCTTAAGCATCATATCTTTAAACCCAGTGCCAACCTTACATAGTGTGTAGTATACATCCTGATCAGGATCATAAGTAGCCATCAGATATGACCCAAACATGCCTATAAAGATTACCCAAGTCCTTACCAGTCCTTCTTCCTTTACCATAATAAGCTCCCACAGGGATCAAGTCAAGTGAGTCAGAGAGACCTAGAGAATCAGGTCGGGATTTACCCTTAGAAATAGCTTTTCCTTTGTACTTTATCCACTGAGTTCTATTGCTACCACTGATGTCGTAAGAAGTTAGGGATTTATCAACAAGTTTTAGAAATAACCCTTCTCATTCTGACGCTAATGAGCCTTTCATCATGGCATCAATCTCCTTCTTAGCTTCGGCTGGGTCTGTGAAGTCTATTATCTTTGAGTAACCTATGTGAAGGAATTTGGATTATGCCCACTAAGCCGGGAGAGAAACATTCTAAGAAGACCTGAATGTGTTAAAATGATACATTTAACAGCTTAGCTCTTTAAACATACATTTGTTCAGCTGATCTGGGTTGTCTAATTTTTCTTTCTTAGATAGATCAAAGAACATATCTAAATACTGCTTTCTAGTCAGAATATCCTCATTGATCAAGTTTACTCCGTTCAATTGCATGATGTCAAAAAGATACAGACTTGGATATTTTCCGTCAAATTCCGTTCTATTCTTGGTCTTTTTCTCGATTTCTTGAAATGCTAGAAAACAATAAGCCCTTTCTCATGTGTTAAAACATGTCTATACTTACAGATAATCTTGGAAGTTTCACCTTCAAACTGTTTAAAGAGCACCTCTCCATCCAAAATACAATTATGAAGACCAGGAATTCTATTAAAATATTCTTCAAGGGTTTCATGAAGTGCATAAAATTTGAAATTCTGAATTTCGTGCCCTCTGCTAAACATATTAATCTTTTCTCCATCATAATGGATCTGGGATCTCTCTCCATCATACTTATATTCTGACAAGGCTCTTTTATCAGTGACCTTCTTAGCATCAGTGATGAACTTGGTCAGATCCTTGAATGTCTTGGCTGACCTTCCTAACATTGCATGGACTGGTGTATTTATATTCAAAAAGTCAGGATTTTCTCTAATAGTGTATCCAAAAACCTCCTTTTCAAGCTCAATCAGCAGATTTTCTATCGGCTTGGGGTCTTCAATATCATCTTTTGTCTGAAGCTCCTGAAGGATCTTTATCAGTGATTTTGCACTGACACCAATCCTGAGGGACCCCATCAAGACCTTGATAATGAATTTCACTTCCAGAGGATCCTCAGTCTTGAGGATGTTCTGGAACTGATAATACTTCTTAGCATAGCTATCTTGCCCCTGAATTGCCTTTATTTTGTAAATAATATCAATAATATCTTCCACTGTTATAGGATTTTGCTTGAACGAACCGTTAAAGTCTGGTCTCTCAGCTTTCATAAACAGGAGGATTCTGTATAAAATTTTATTGAAGGAATTTTGTGCATGTTTTTAGGATCCAAACATATGAATTAGAAGCGATATAACCTTATTACAAAGAATCTCTTGTCTAGTTATCAAGAATTATGTCAGAAATTCCTTAATTATTAAAAGCTTACGTAGATGCTACTTGGCCAAGATCTCCTTCAGTCTTATACAGCTCTTTGACATGCTCAAGGTCTTTCTCATAGTATTTGGCTATGTAAGCCAGAATGGTATTTTCTGCAAGGTTTATGTCTGTTTTTGACCTAAAATTGGCTTAAGGACTTACATTGTATTCATATCTGAGGCAATTTCATTAGTCTCGAATTTGCACAGAGTCAGCTTGCAGAAGTTCTTCAAGTCTTCTATTTCCTTGTTCTCATATTTTGCTGAGACGAACTCACGCAGAAGACTCAGGATTTGGAGCCTCTTTGGGTTAACATTTTCTGTAAGCAGTTGAGCATGAGCTTTTTAGGGAATTTACCTATATTTTGATAGAGTTCTGCAACTTCTTTGAACCTCATTGAAAAGTATCTTCATTGTGATGAAAATAAATTTTCTAAAATAGATTAAGAATAGATTTAAGCAGAAATAAAGAAGTAGGAAGATTTATCTGTACCTTTCTTTAAGCCTAAAGTTGATTGATGCATCATGGTTTTTGATCCAAATCATCCACTTTGTAAGCGATTTCTTTGAGATAACATGTTTCTGTTTTGTTTCAATCTAATATGGCTGCAAATACCTTTAGTTGTTACTATTTTCTTGGCCAAGACAACATTTTGTCTAGCTTTTAGCACTATATTAAGCTCTTTTATACACTTACTCTTCACAATTATCATGATTCACTCTTAAATATAATAATTTTACAATCCACTAAACTAAAAATGGGGTTTTGGGGTTTTGGGGTTTTGGGGTTTTGGGG